GTTCGAACCCACCACCCTCGGTATATGGGGCCAGCGCCTTACCCACTGAGCCACAGGCACTGCCTGGACATGTATAATTTTTAAAGCAAATTTGATATTAATATTCAATCTTATAAGTTTCCAAGGTAGAAACTTAGAACTCAAATTCAGGACTAGAAAACTTAGAGAGAGAAAATTCAGGACTACCTTCAGGTATCCTAGGTCCTCAACACACAGGGCAAGGGCAGAGTTTGGTAGGAGGGGCTGGAGGTGCCCTGAAGCTAGTCGGGGAAGTTGGGTCTTGTCCCCACAGACTTGGGAAGCCACAGCAGGTTTTAGAGCAGGGGAATGACTTATGTAGTGTGGTGTTTAGGCAGGTCTGTCTGGCACAATGGAGTGGTCATTGGCATGAGGGTGGCCAATCTGGAAACTGTTTCGCCACCTCAAACATGGAGGCACCAAGGGTGTAGATGGCAGAGGGAGGGGCTGAGCAATGGATGATGAGGGTAACCAAAGAAGGAAGACTTGAATAGACAGTTTACCAAAGGAAATCTACAAACCGCCAAGAAGCACGTGAAAGGTGCTCCTCATCATTAGTCTTTAGGGGAAGGCAAATTAAAAACCCTGTAAGGTATCCCTTCAGACCCACTAGCGTGGCTAGCGTTAAATAGACACACAAGACTGAGCATTGGTGAGGATGTGGAGTCACTGGCCTCTCGTTCGTCGCTGATGAAGGTGTAAAGTGGTGCTAGCCCTTTGGAAAACTGGCAATTTCTTATAAGGTCAAATATACACCTTACGCCTAGCAATTCAGCTCCCAGGAAGGAAAACATATTTCCACACAGTCTTATACCTGAATGATTACAGCAAAGTTGTGTGTAAAAGCCAAACTGGAAACAGCCTAAGTGTTCACAAAGAGGAAGACAGATAAAGAAACCACAATACATCCATAAAATGCACACACTGAAAAGGAGCAGCTGTTACAAGCAACGATGTGGATGAACTGACAGCAGCGATCTTCCAGGTGCCAAACTGAGGGAAGGAAGCCAGATGCAAGTACATTTATAGGAAGCTCAAAACCAGGCAAAACTAAGATGTAGTGATAGAAATCAAATCGGTAGTTGCCTGGGGTAGGGCAGGTGGAGACATTAATTGCAAAGGGACTCCCTCTGTGAAGACGGAAGTGCCCTTTATCTTGACTATGGTGGTGTGCATACCTTTAGCAAAAGTCATCGATCT